CACACTAAAAGATGAGGTTTCATCAGCTGGGCTTGTGAGAATTATATTCATGAATATAATCACAGCCTCTGTCTTATCCCATGCTTTTCAATCACCACTGCATTTCCTTTTTCCACTTTTTGCTGTTCATTCATAATGAGCTGCCTTTACCTACTCAGGTTGTTTGCAAAATAAGGTGACCTCTCCCATGCAACAAAAAGACCAGCCTGCAGCCTGGTCATGTTTCTAAACAAGAACCATATATATAGTACAGTTAATGATTTTCAACTATATTTTGAAAGGACACAAGACTGGCCCATGTAAGAAACTTCACATAAACCTGCATACATTCAGATACTAACTGTTGCAATTAATGTGATTCCCTAAGAAAGAGGTAAGAAAAACTTAATATTCATAATGCTCAATTTTATTCCTACTACTATCAGAGTGTGTTTCTGCAGATATCAGCATTAACAATCAGCCAAATTTTAATAGGCTGTGTTGCTAAAGAGACAGGAATCACTGGATGTGCCTGATCCAGCTGTCAAACACGACATCAGTGTTGTAAGTCAGACATAGTAAATCAGAACATATTTGAGTAGACTCTTATTTGCAAAAATGGATCCTTTTTAAAACAAGTTCCAACAAATTTGCTGAATTATTTTGAGTTAGTTAAGTTTAACAAGTTAGCCTGAATAAATTTAAAAGAACGTTTTCAAGAGAAATCCCTATTCACCCAAGGAACTGCTGCCACCTTTAGGAAACAAAATCAGAGAACAACTGTAGGAGCATATCCCATGGATTGCACCTGATGTGCAGTATTATTACTAAGAAACTTACTGTATCTGCTATCTTGAATGAACTGCCATCATGTTGATCTTTTCGGCTGCTAGGATGAGGTGAACCATTTCCTCCATTAGGTGCAGATTCTGGACTAGGAACAGGAGAAATCTGGCCAAGAGTTGGTGCAAATTTTGCCTCCTTTTTATTAGTCACCAGATAGTTGATATCTTTACTAAGAAAACTCTCCACTCTCTAAATATAAAGATATAAAACAAGTAATTTTTTCAGGACAATAGAACGGTAACTCAATTTTACATTGACTATTTTAAAGGAAAGTGATAAAACTTCTAAAACAATTAAGTTCAAAAACACTGAGTTAACAAGAAAATATTTTCTACATATCTGGATAACAATGACAATTAAGTTATACTAGCATCTTACCAGTCACAAATTCTAATTTGTAATTTAAATTTCTTAATTTTGTAATAACTATTAAAAGAGTTTTGCTTTGTTCTGATTATTACAATTTTATACTACCTACCTGTAATACTTCCCAATTACAAGAATGCAACACTCCATCAAAAAAAATAACATATTAATTTAAGGAAAGCAACTCTCTAATTTTATGTAACAGAAATTACACAGAAGTGTTCAGTGACACTTAAAGACAGGTGTTTGCAAATGGGATTTACAGTCTTCAAGAAGCTATACATTCACTGAGTTTGGGACCAGCAGAAAAACTAAAATTTCAGGATAGCTATCATGTTTCACACCTACAGTTTCCATAACGTTTCTCAAAAAGGTAAAGTCTCAAGTAGATTCATATTCTCCTACTCAGCAATATAAAAATGTCATCATTCTGAGTTTACTCCTCCATTTTGCTCTTTCAGTCTTTCATTGCCAACTACAGTGTGACCAACAGCCAAGTGCCTCGCTATTTCATGTCAGATTGTACAGTTTGAGGTATTTTCCTCTTTTCCACTCATCACTGTGGAAAGCACAAATCACACAGCTTGAAACTGTGCATTTCAATTCTGCTCTGTGGATCTTTTACAGAAACAGGATATACAGAGAGAGGCACTTCTAAGTGCCCTCCACACAAGTATTCTGTACTTGCTTGTATCAAAGAGCTCCCTCCATACAGAAAGAAGAATTAGGAAAAAATTATTAAGGTGCTTATAAAATTTATTGTTTAATAGTATTCAAAAACAGTCACTAAGATACCCTGTGCAAAACATTGTTAGTGAAGCTGCTGACTTACAGAAAACAGACACAAAACTCTTCCTTTAGTCTCTTTCAGGTTCAGCTGAACACTGTGAGTTGTAACATGTAAACATGTCAATACAGTCAGAAGCAGCAGAAGAAAAATCACCTTGAACAATGAAACCTTATGAATTTGGATAAAATCTTAAACCAGGTGAACAATCAGCTGAAAACAAAACTGCCTAATAAGAACTTTTGTTCCAATCAGGAAAGCAGCTTCTCTTGAAAACCCACAGAATAGTTTGGTGATAAGCTCCTTAATTTGGATTAAACTTTAAGACAAAGATGGAAAAATAAGACACCATCTCAGGTAATGACAAGTAACATTAAAATGCAGTTACAAAGAACACAAAAAAGGCATTCTACATGTGCACATTTCCTTCTAGGTTCATATAAGTCTCTATTATTAGCTTACCCCTCCCAGCTCTTTGAGGTCCTTTCCTAACTTTTCAGAGATCACATTTGATGGGATATCGAGGTAAAACACTTTCCCAGTGAGCGGCTTAAATTTGAGTTTCTCTGGTTTTCCCGTGTCTTTCTTCACATTCTTCAGGGAAGATCTTATCTTTTCTGGTTTTGCTTGAATTGCATCTTCTGGGGAAAGAAAAAAAAAAAAAAAAACAACAGGCAATTTAAACAGAACTGGACTTTGGTTTTCTTTTTGAAAGGGAAAATTCCTAAACTATGGAAATGGATGGAGCAAGCTTCCATAGAAAGGCTTGGGCTGGAAGGGACCTTAGAGATCATCTAATTTCAACCTCCCTGCCATAAACAGGGACTCCTTTCACTAGACCACATTGCTCAAAGCACAACTCCATGTATTGGTTTTACACTGGTTTTTCTTCCTCACTCGCCTAATCCTAGTTGTTTCTCTTTTGGAGAAGCTCAAGACAATGAGAGCTGCCACAGGAAGTGAGCAGGCCTCTTCTGGAGACAAAAAGGCAACATGCAAAACAGTCCCTCCGTTAGGGATTGATTCCTTCCCTCCCTGAAGGAGTCCCAGGTAGGAAAGGGAGCAGAACCACTACTCATGCTGCAAAATCCTCTAGGGCTTATGAGCACACTAAATAACAGAGGAGCAGCACTCAGTTTTGTAGGATTTGGAAGACAAAAAAAACCTAGAAAAATAAGAAAATTAGGAGATTGGTGCAACTGACCCAGAATCTAAACAGAAAAGATGGATGATAAGCAAGCGTGCAAGGAAAATTCTGTAATGATCACCGACTAAATACAGCGTCATACTCACCACACACACGCGCCAGGACCGTTTAAAAATTAACACTCCAAACACTGGAATTAATATTGGAGCACGCAGATTAAACCTCTCAGGGATAATCTAAAGTTTGGAGCGCATTAACAGGACTGCAATAGCAATGAAGAGTCTCTCTCGCAAAGGGGGTGCGTTCTCACACCCTGGGCCTAAGGAGCCCTCCACACAGACACCAGAGGAGCCCGGGGGGAGCAGCTGGCCCAGCGGCGGCCCGGCCATGTCCCACACACCAGGGGCATGCTCGTACGAGTAACTCCCGTCACACACGAGGGCCCTTCCAGCCGCCCCCGCTCCAGCACCAGCCCGAGGGCGGCCGGGGCCCAAGCCCAGCACGAGGCGGCGGCGGCGCCTCACAGCCCCAGCCAGGATGGCGGCACCGCCTGAGAAAGGCCCGAACGGCGGCAGCTCCCCCGCGCTGCCCACAGCCCCCCGCCGCTTACGGGGACGCGCTCCTTTGTCGGCGGCCTCGGCAGCGCTCGGCTTCATCTTCCCGCGGAGTCACATCGTGCTCTGCTCTGCTCTGCCGGCAGCCCCGATCGGCACAGCCACTCCGCGCCGCCTTCCCGCCTCCGCCGCAGCGACTGCTGCGCCCGCACCAACTGCCCGCGCGGGCCGGCCCCTCCCGCCGAGGGGCGGGCGGAAGGCCGGGCAAGGAGGGGAAGGAGGGGAAGGAGGGAAGGAGGCTGTGGGGCCGGAGCTGGGCTGGCTTGGCTCTGGAGGAGGTATAGGAATGGCAGCGTTCTTCTGTCGTCGCCGCAGCCCTGACTGTCCTTGAGTCGTGGAGACCTTTGACCCCCGGCTGGCGCCGCTGGTAAACGGGTATGTACGCAATTCTGGGCAGCGGTCCCCTTCCGAGTTAAAGATACGTGAAAAATAAACAATATCCCCACCCACCGTTGCAGCTGTTAGCACCTGAGAGGCCAGAATTGGTTTGTGCAACTTAATCTTTTTTTATCTAACTTTTGGCGTAGTGAAAATAACAAAACATTCTTGTGAAGTCAATGAAGAGCTTAGATCAGTGTTTCTAACAAAGTTTGGGCTGCACTTAAGCACAGTGGTGCATTTTTAAAGACGCACCTCTATTTGGAGACTTTATTTTCTGAAGTGTTTTTATTATCTTCTTTTATTATCTTCTCCTGTCCTGGCTGGTTGCAGATATTGTGACTGCATTCGTGAATTGCTGTGACCATGCCTATGCAGCCGTAGAGCAGGATTCGTTCAAGGAATTAACATTTGGTGGTGTCATCATTAGTAGCTAGTCCTTGCCTATTACACCAGGAGCATGCCAGGGCACAGTCATCACTAGCAGGCTGTGGCAGCCAGGAGACCTTTCGGGGTTCTCTCAGGAGAGATGGGAGCAAGAGAAGGGCTGGGTCAATTGTTCTGCATTGTTTCAGTTTATGGGCTACAGACTGGGAGTTTATCTTTGTAAGGATTATTGGCATTAAGGACCATTTGTAAATACTTTGTTGCAGTTAAAGGCAATAAAATGAAATGTTAAACATTTCATGTGGTTTGCAAGAGCATGTAAATGTTGTAATTCATTTAGGAAGGATTTTGAAGATTTATTGTCTTTAGAAAGCTTACTTGCAAAACATGGCTCAAAATATCTCAAAAATTACTGAGATGCTTCTACGTGAGCAGAAAAGTAATATTGCAAAAGTAATATTGCTGAAAATTGAAAATATTTATCCCTTGAGTTTTTTTCTGCAAATTTTGAGTGTACTCTTACAATATGTTTTTCTGTTCCTTAACAGGTTTTTTCTTGTCTGGGGATGAAGCCATGGCTGAAATGAGTGGTATCCATGTACAAAAACTAACCATTGTTCAGCAAGCAATAGCCTCTTGTTGTGGAGCTATAATTACATCATTATTTGGTAAGGCAATCTATGAAGCTGGCCACTTCTTCTCTACTACTTGTAAGAGAGACTCTTACAAAGTAATTACTCTTCAGTTTGACTCACCATGATGTCTGCTTGTGTATGTTTCCACTAATGTGTGGAATCGAGCCCTCAGCCGATGTATTCAGAGGAGGATGGTCCAGCTGCCCAGGCACTGCAGCATTCAGCATGTCTCAGCCTGTGGTAGTTGTAAGGGCTGCAGTGGAAGCAGTGAGGTATTCACTAAACCTTCACTTACTTTTCAAGAACCCCAATATTTTACATATTGGCTACATGCAGCAAAAAAGAAAAGTACATAATGAATTTAACTTTTTTTTTAAAGTTGTATTATGGTCAGTTAATTGAAAAAGAACAAACACATGAAGAAAATGCTGTGCTATTTTATATGCCGGAGGCCAAAATTTGATCTTGTATGCCTTGTGGTATGCTACTTATAAAAGCAATTTTAGACAACATGATACAGTGGTTTTTGAATGAGTTTTGTGCATTAGTAATATTTCATGCCTGTGCAGCTGTTAGTAAATTAGAAAAGACAGATTTGATATTTTGCAAACCATATAAGGTGTGTAGTGTCCTTTGTGTCTGATAGCATTGTCTTTGTCTGCTGACATCCCTTTTCTCTCTGCTTAATGACATTGTAACATCTTTTAGGTGTTTCCCCCCCACTTTGGAAACAAAAAAAAGGTTCTAGACGTTCTTAATAAGGCATCTGTAAACTTCTACAATTTCAAGGCATCCAGGATGTTTCTAAATGCCTCCTTCTGTTTCATTTTAGTAACTCCTCTTGATGTTATCAAAACTCGACTGCAAGCCCAAAGGAATCCATTCCACGACGGTAAACAAACAAATGTGTGGTGTAATGGGGGACACAGTTTGCTTTTTGCTCTTGTATTTAGCTGATAGTTGTCATAATGCTGTGCTGAGGTGCAGAATGTTTGAGTCTGTTTCTCCAGTATAACTGGGGGGGTGGGGGGAAAAGCAACACACCATATGTACTATTACACAACAGCAAAAAGTCCCATACATCCATATCATTTTAAACAGGCTTTTTGTCCCTGTCTTAGTATTTTCATTATGGCAGAACATACAGCTAATACTGAGTTGAGTCGAACAATAAAAAGCTGTTACTAAATAAATAAATATTTCATCAGAGGGCTTATGTGGTCAGGATGTTATATCAAAGTTCATCTCCTCCAGAATCCAGAGATTTTTGAAATGGAGAAGTCTTAACAAGTCACTTGCCACTTGGGTTCTAAATAGATGAAGATATTGTGCTCTCAAAGATGTGCTAATGGTTCCTACTATTTACTTGTACTTAGTATATGAGATATAAAAGAAAAGAAGATGACTGGTTTTTCATGTTGAATGTGGAGGTGAGTATTTGCAGTCACACTTGCAAATTAAATTAGGAAAAATACTTGTGCCTTCTATCCTGTTTTTGAGTAAGTTCTAAAACCTTCAGAAATCTGCAAATGTGAAGCTTGAAGTGTGTTTTTCTAATAGCAATAATATTTTATCAAACAGGTTGAAAGTACATAATGTAGGAGAAATAAAAAACAAATGGAGGGGATGATCTAGTATAAATACAGACCAAGATAAGATACAACAATAATAATAATACAGATAAGATACAATACCTCCACTTGAAGTGGATGCTGAGGCTACTTAATAAAAGATTTAAAAGTCTGAAAGATGTTCACAGTTACATATAATAGTGACATTCAGGTCTTGTATTAGTTTTACTTTTCAGCAGATGGTAATATAACCTAAACATGTCTCTTGGAGCCTTGTGAAGGCAGTTCTATTTAGTTGGGCAGTCTGAGGAGTAAATTTGTACCCCCTCTCTTTTGACCTAATTTGTCATTACTGACTTAACAAAATTATTTTGCCCCTCTGTGTCTAACCAGAGATAAGTCTGTGTTGTCATTTTATCCAATTTGAAATTGCTGCTGCATAAAAACAATCTTATAAGCATTAACTATATTCTTATACACCATTTTTTAGGAAAATGTCTTGTAAACTCCAGTGGCCATATGGATCATGTATATGTTTGTAAAAATGGGGACAGCAAAGCCTGGTATAAAAAACCTGGGCATTTCAAAGGGACATTGGTAAGAAAATTTTACATTTATATAAAACTGTGCATTTTTAAGTAGCATACTCTAAAGTTTTCAGGGTTTTTTCAGGTTCTACTGGAATCTGTTATCACTTGAGAGGGCCTTCATGTGGTTACACTGATGATTGATGATACCTTCTACTGTCTGCAAAAAAATACCTATTCCTTCCTTAAGATGAGCAAGGAGGCAGCTGCACAGCTCTCCTCCCAGGTTACTGGCTTTATGATTTCATTTTCCCCACTTCAGCTATATTGGCAGTAGTTGCTGATTGCAGGTAATAATTTTCTCTTTCCTGCTTATATCCCTTGTGCCCACGCATCTCCCAATATGCTTCTGAGCTGAACTATTGGTGCAGATAGTGTTTAAAGTTAAGTTAATGTGTCAAATTCTCTATCCAGAGAATCTCTATCCTGTCAAATATCTAGACTTGTAGGAGTGGCATTTTCCTAAACACTTGAACCAGACTTGCTGGCAGATACTGTCATGCTGGTTCATTAGTCAATTTTGTTTTGACTCTGCTATGAAATTAAACCTATGATCAAGGATTTTTCAGATTTAAAATCTTGAGAATGGGATGTTAATGCAAAAGGTGACTTCAGTTTAAAAGGTTTTTCTAAATTAATAACTTTACAAGTGTGATTTTTTTCAGTTACCTTTACTATGTAATTTTAGAAAGTTAAATAATTTTCTATTAGACATGAATTTATGCCTGGTTTTGCCATAAAAGGTGATTCTTAAAGAAGAATGACTATCATGTAACTTCTTTTTAAAAAAAAAAAGAATCTTAACTTTCATCTATCCCTTCCTGTTTTGTAAACTTGTTGAAGCTGGGTTACAAACATATTAACCGGCTAGTATAAAAGTGTCTTTTTGTTAAACCATGTTAGGACCTCTAGGGATTCTGGGCTTCCTTTCAAAGCTAATCAGGTTTGTTGTAATAAACCATTTTTTTGTTTTTTCCATTCAACTTTTTACCTCACACTATAAGTCCATTAAGGCTGTCTCCTCTAAACCTATTTGTTTTTTTCTTCCTCTAAGTCCTTTCTCTGGTCTGCCAGACTCTTGTGAGGCTCTGTAATAATGTCTGGTCTTAGGCATATTCTAATCCATTGAATCCCAACCTCTTTCCCCAGATGTTTTAAGAAAATTAATATCCTGACACTACAGAGTTTGTGGTTTTGCTTGTGATTTCAGCTGAATGATCTTCAAGGTTTAGTGTTCTTGTGCTGTCAGTCTCCTGGGAATATACAGGACAGCTGTAATAGTAATTGAAAGCTTGTGTATGGTATAGTGTATACACATTGCATGTATGGGATCGCATTGTCAGAGGAAGTATTGAAGAATCTTTGAGAATTAGTTGCTATTTCACTCCTAGAAACTCTGCTACATATTGAAAAAAAATTAGTGGATTTTTTGGGGAAGTTTCCACAAATTGCGGCAATACCGTATCAGTACTGAAAATAGTTATTCACAGGGCTGTCAGTCACTGATTAACACTTAGTACTTTGCCTTTTTAAAGATGGAAGGAAATTCTTAATTTCAGTCACATAAATTATTCTGTTCAGCTCAGTGGAACTGTTTGCATGATTAAGTGTGATAGCTTGTGTAAGCAGTTATAAAATTGGGATCTTACAATGCTAAGCTGTTTTAAAAACATACTTTTAAAGACATTAGTTTTGTGTTCTGCCAGCTAAAATGTATTACTAGCTACAAAACTTTGTAGCTAACTATTGCTCTTTGTATTCTTAGGATGCATTTGTGAAAATTATTCGAATAGAGGGAATTAAGTCGCTGTGGAGTGGGCTTCCCCCAACACTGTAAGTTGAATGGGTTTTTTGGTAACATGCTGTAAGTTATTGTTATAAAAATTACTTAATTATTTTTGAGAAATTATTATGCTTATTTTTAAGTTATTTTAAAAATTTGGTCAATTCTGAAGTTTCAGACTAATCAGTTTAATCAGAAATGTCTATGGACAGTATAATTTTTACCAGATTTTAGAATTTCCTGATACATTCTCAGTACTTAAGCAGGATTAATAGACTTCTCATTCTGCTTTTTTTTTCCCCTACTATAACTATTCCTTTGATAGCATCATCGAATCACAGGATGGGACCTTGTCACTTGAGAGGGTCAGTCTTCAACACATTCCTGTTGTATCTTGTTACTTAATGACTTGTTATCAGCAGCACAGCTGTTTCCAGACACTCTGGTGTTCCACCTCATTACCCTCACTTAATTTTTGTACTCATCATCTTTATTTCAAAGAACTTCGGGGTTTTATTCTATCTGGATAAACAGATAATTCATTTTCTCTCTACAAGAGCAATTTACATATTTAAACACAGCAATCAGATCTCCTCCTGGTCTTCTCTTTAGGTTTAACAGCCCCAAACTGTTTTATCTTTTTATTCATATTAACCTAGTACAGATAGAAATTAAGACCTCTATAATTATGTTCTCCTTCATAAACTTAGATTTGAAAAGAAAATTTTCAAATCTAAGAAGGCACAAATTGTGAAGTGCCCAGTGGGAAGCACTGGTACACTTTCGATTCGCACACAGTGCTCAGTGTATAGGCACAAAAAAAGCAAAGCATGGTGGAGTTCAGCCTTGTTTACCCTCCAGTATGTGGCAATTTCAAAATATAAACCTTAGGACCTGACTGAAATGTTCCAGTCACTACAGTTTTTTACAAAGCACATGTTCTGTTCTCCAGCAGAGAACTAACTTCTTTACTGGAGAAAGTCACACAAGTAGAAGAGAAGATATAAACTAAGCCATGTTGGTTTTACAAGCATGAAAAACCAACGGTGGTTTTTGTTAATGGTGGTACATGCTGTATTGGCACAGACATAACACAGAAGTGTAATTGCCAGATTATGGTAAGATGTGGTGCTTTCCCCCTACACTGAATGATTATTGACTCTACCTGTTGCCCCTACAGCCTGTACTATGCTGGTATGGAAAAAGCTTATATTTGTGCATACTACATTGTCTCTCAAGTAATGAATATCATGGCTGTTGATCAAGAGCATAATATCCAATTGTTACATAAATAAAAGTTAAAGTTAGTAGTACTTGTGTAGTATTTTGTTTGGGTTCTTCATTTTCAGATCTTTCACTTGCCATTCTTTACCAAAATAATTCTGTAGCTGGTATGGGATAGATTTTGACAGAGATAACCTACCATCATTTTACTTACCATTTTCCCTAATGAAATGAAAGCCTGGGAAATGTGTGGGTTTGAAACTCTGAACTACAAGCCGTGAATCAAAGCCTATGGGATTAATGTTGTTTTTTTTTTTTTAATTAATCCATTACACACAGCTGGAAATTTAATTTTTATTTACATATAAGTAAAATATCAATACAAGATAGTTGACTTTATTCTCCTGCTTTCCTGGTATTAATTTAAATTTCTTCTCTTATATTTTAGAATAATGGCAATTCCTACCACAGCAATCTATTTTACCTGCTATGATCAGCTGTGTGAAGCTTTGAAAAGTAGACCAGGAAAGCATGATGAGCACATTCCAGTTATTGCAGGTTCCTTAAGCAGATGTAAGTTGTCCTCTGTTTAAAGAGAAAACTGGAACATAATACCTCTATGCTATTTTCTTGACTTTTATTTAAAGTAAATATGCTGTGGGTTTAAATGAGGGATAGGAAGGATTACTGTCATTACCCGGTGTTTTTTGGGCAACAAAACCCTCTAACTTGGAAGACTGAGGTTTGGTTTTGCTGAAACACTTTCACTACATTTTTAATTTGTTCAAAATTTTATGTTTCTAGATTTCTACCAAGGACAGTTTCATTTAATTCTGTTCTGCCATCAATCTAATAATAAACATTGTTATTTGCTATCATGGAAGGTACATAGGTAATTATAACAAAGATGAAAATTGGACTTGTACTGGTTTTACTGCTGTATGATGTGGATGGAATTTGTGTATTTTCTTACTTTGGTTTATCCTTTTCTTTGTCTTTTTTTGTAGAATTAACTCAGATAATATATTTTAGGGCTTTTGTAGACAGGTCTGATGATGCAGTTCCATGTTCTACCTGTGACAACCCTGGGGGCACTGGCAGACTAGTGGAAAAAGAATTGCTATTTTGTGGTGGTGTAGCACATTGTTCTTATTAGGCTGTTCCAGATTTTAAATTCATGTGTAAAATCTTGTTCCAGCAAGAGAAGAAAAATTCTTGAATCTAGTAAAATTTTTAATGTCTGTTAGATGTGTGGTGGTAGCTTGTTACTTAATGATGACATTGTGCAAGATGCTAGAGTTACTTTATCAGATACAGATTGCCAGCTAATCATTCTTGATAGTTTAAAATAAGAGTGCCAAAGGTGCTTAGAAATAAAAGCTTAAATCTGTAACCACAATTCTGTCTTTAACACAAAAAGAAGCCTTAAACATCAAGATCGCTTTCTTAAGTTACAGTTTAAAATAGCCATGAAAACAATTGAGTTTAAGTACTTGAAATTTTCAGCCTATTTATGTTAGGCTGAAAAATGAGGATTCTCAGCATGTTACATTGTTTACGATATGCAAGCATTGAAAAAACCCCTAAATTGGAAATGTAGACACTGTGAATAGGCATGTTTTTCTTTTCTGGAAAGGAAACTTATTTTGGGAATTAGTTCAAGGAAAATGGGAGAGTTGAAAAGAATCAAATATATAAAGTAAGGTGAGGCATGACTTGAATGCTCAGGAAATTGAACTGTTAAATACTGATTTTTCTAAAAAAAGCCATGTTTCCTTTGCAGTTGGTTCTGCCACCGTGGTGAGTCCCCTGGAGCTGATCAAAACCCAAATGCAGTATCGCAGGTCGTCCTACAAGCAGCTGTACCTGCGTGTCAGCACCAAAGTGACTGTGGATGGGTGGCTCTCCCTGTGGCAGGGCTGGGCTTCGACTATTCTGAGAGATGTACCTTTCTCAGGTAAGGTTTATTTCCCATGCAGGTTTTTGTTTATGTTTTTATATTATTTTTCTGTGCTTTTAAGTAGTTTTAACAGTTGGCTTTAGGAATGACTGAGATTTGTCTTTTTTGAGTGTTTTTATTTATAAATTCTCTGAAGATGTGATTTTTTTTCTCCCCATTTTGTTTGTGGATACCAGATAGGATTCATTGTTACATTCCCTTTCCCTGTACTTAGACTTTCTTCTCATCTCTAGCTTACACACTGACTGCTTTTGAAGAGTTTCAGCTGGAAATTTTCTCTGTAATAGAAATAGTGGCTGATAAACATGCTGTATCTAAGTGTTCTTTTACTTTTTAATTTTGGAAACATGTACAGAGAGTGACACAGTAGTGTCTTCAAGATTTTTTTTTTTTTAAATCAAGATGAATTCATTTGTATAACTGCTCCAAAAAACTCTTTAGCAAGACTCGAAAGCTGAAAGCCTCGAAGAAGAAAAGTCTGATTCAAAGCATAACTGGTCTTAGGGCTATTCCTTAAGGTAACTGGGACAGATGGTACAGGGGAGACTGCTAAAGCACCAGCAAGCCCCTGTCCCTTTAAGGCCTGTTTTTGTCAGAATACTTTTGGATCATCAGACATCAGTTGTCATTGAAGCAGTTTCTGTCATTGGGGTAGTACCAGGAATCTTTAAACACTTTGTGTTGGCCCAGAAAAATTCTTCAAACCTATTTTTGGAAAGATTCTTATTCAAACCTGGTTTTGGAGTCAGAGAACCCTTGAAGTATTTGACCTGCTATCTCTGTTGTCTTACTTCACTCTTAAGATGATTTGATATCTAATTTAATTTGTGTTTCCAATCAATGACTGGGGGCCAGTCATTGGTTTGGGCTGTTAGAGGATGTGTGTACTTAGAGTAAATTTTAAATTGGCCATGAACCAAACTGAGACATAAGTGGGGTGTGATGAGGATATTTACTTTAAAATTGCTGTTGGTAGTTGAGTAAACTGAACCAAGTTATTTCAGAAGAAGCTGTCTTCTTTTCAGAATTTATAATGCTCTGTTCTCTTTCACTTAGCTACTGGAAGGTGTTTGAAAATTGTGATTGGCATGTATTTCCTGCCTAAAGATCCAGTTCCTTGATGGGACCTTATTTAGTCTTCTGTGATAGGGAAGGCTTCTCACCCTATGAGTACATGGTCTGAAGTGTTTCCTCTTCAATTTTTATTTTTAATTAACTTATTTTTCTTCTCTGCCAAATGTAATTTTCTCTTAGGCTGTTCTGTAAGGTTTGTAAGGGAACTCTCAAATTCTTCATCTGATTCCTGCTGTCTGACTTCAAGTGGAAACTCTTACTCTTTTATTGATTTTTGTCTGTAGCAGTGTGGCTGGAGCTTGTGAGCTTCCTTCCCCCTGCTGCTTTTAACAGAGTGGGAAGATCACAGGGAGTGCACAAGGAAGAGGGCACTAAGGTGATGTGCATTCTTCTTAGCACTTTTCAGTTCTTGTGTCCATGCCTGCTGTTCCTCCACTGCTCCAAGCCAGGCTTGTTGATTTTTAATCTGTTTCCACACTGCTCTGGCATTCCCTGGACAGCCAGTGGCCACTCACTCATCTGTGCCCAGTACTTTGTGGGCATGATGGTAGAGGCACAAATTAACCTATAAGGCAGTAGCTGCATGTTGAGAACTACTCAGCCAATAGTGAGCAGGCAAGTAGAAGCATGAGTAGAGGAAAATGTATTTAAAAAAAACCCCAAATGCCACAAAATTCAGCTTATGTAAAGCTAAGGTTGTTTAATACTGCTTAATTCCTTTTCCAACTGTGTTTTCTGGTAATTTCTTCCCCATAACTGCTCTCTCCCTGCTATGGTGTCCTCCCTTTGTACCTCCAGTCTGAGCTCTTCAGTTTGAATGATGCCCAACAGCAGCTGAATCTCTGGTGTTCTCAGTTTGCACCTTTGCTGCAGGGAGTTCAAGTCGGCTATCTCAAGAGTTAAAATCACTGTAACATGGAGTTGAGAAAGCAGGTCCTACTGCAAACAGGCAAACAGCACAGCATGACTCAAGGAGCACAGGATAGTTAGAATTCTGCTCTATTCCTAGCCCAAGTGTTCATGCCATGTTTCAGTCATGTTCCTTGGGACGCTAGCTGGACTGAACAAAACTTAAGTTATGAATGCTTATAAACACAAAAACTGGTTTAATAATAGTATTTGAGTCCTTCTTTAAGCAGTGTCACAGACAATATACATGTAAATGGTATTCAGGGAAATGAGTCCTGTAGGTTCTTAAGAAAATTCTGGCTTTAGATAATTTATATTAAATTAGAGTTTTGTACATTTCAATAAATGTACGTTTTGTACATTCCAACATTCTCCTCAAATCCTCAGAATGCCTTCTGAGATACTGCCTACCTTTAGTTTTGTAAAATGTTGGGGGCCATGTATATGTGCTGGTAGTCTTCATGGCAAGGAAATGCTGTGCAATTTTTCTGCTGGCACAAACTCCAGAACTCAGTTCTGAACATGGTTACCTTTCAGGATATGGAGCTGTCATTTGCAATATTTAGTCAACCAGCTGCCATGAGGAATTACTCTCTAGTTCAGCCTAGTAGTATATCACTTGAAGTTTTAGTTAGAAAGCAGAAAAAGTGCAGTTTAGTTCAGCAGATGGTCACAGAAACAGATGTTATTCCTGAAAGTTGTTTGCTGGACTTTCCTTTGACAGTCCCCAGAGAGGCATTTGCCTATTTGCTCCCCAGGGAGCAAAATCATATTTTTTTGGTTCTCTCAGAAATAAATTTTATACTGTGCCTCAAAAAAGTATGAGGCAGTCCTGAGAAACATTTCATTTTGTATTAAATGTGTTTTTATAGAACTACTGAGATCTGTGAAATATGCCTGAAAACATAGCGAGTAATTAGAAGACTACCTTTTGATTTATTTTAAATTGAATGTTTTATGGGGCTTGGTTTAGATTGCATGAAGGTAGGGGTTACCTAAGGGAATGACAAACTGATTAGGCTAATTTGTATCATATGAAGAAATTTGGGATATGGAGAACAAGGAGAACACAGCAATCTGTCCATGGGTTATCACATAGGACACTTATTATGCTTTCAGCTCTTGTTTCTGTTTGCTTCTATTGCCACAGTAGAATTCTTACATCTGGACTTGATATAAGAATTTTTGTACTTGAGATACAAATCTGTTGTAATGCAAGTTTATTTTTTTGTAATCATAGCAATGTATTGGTATAATTATGAACGTTTCAAGAAGATGATGTGCAAGGAAGTTGGTGCACATGAACCCACATTTTTTGTTTCTTTTACTTCAGGAGCAGCATCTGGCTCTGTAAGTATATAATTTCATTTCTAGTACAATTCTTTATTAGCACTAATAAACTATTTTTAAAATGTATGGTTTTAGATTATTCTCTCAGAAATGTTGTATATTTTGGGGTGCTTGTACTTTAAACACATGTGGTGTGGCATTCAACCTGACTAAAAAAATCTGAATAAACTACAGTGGTCTGACATAAAAGACTTAAAAATATAATGTGCTTGGAATATCAAATCTAATTTTAAATTGTGTGTGCACTTTAATTTAAAAATTTAGAGTTAAATTTTAATTTTTTGTGCACTAACATTAAAACTGATTTCCTGATAGATTGCAGCTGTTGTAACTCAGCCATTTGATGTAGTGAAAACACATAGGCAGACTCAGCTTTGGGAGAGTGAGACTTTAAAAAGTAAGTTGCTGGTAAGAATAAAAAACCCTTTAGTGTTTCAAAATAAAAATAAACCTGTAGTGTTTTAAAAAATAAAACCTAGTGTTTGGGTAGGGCTTGTGGTACGAATTGTAAATATTTGCCACTTCTAAAGTATATGCAAACATTTTATCACTCAGGCATTTTTTCTTCCCCAAATTGCAGTATCTAGATAAGATACATTTTATCTCCTAGGAGAATACCATATTTCATTAATGGCATGGAAGAGGGAAAAGGTGAGTGTTGAGTACAATTTAGCTTAATAAGACGGTACAAAATTGAAACAAAGGAATCCAAAGCTATTACATTTAGGCAGACCAATTGCAAATTTGAGATGTCCCTGCTTACTGCAGGAATGTTGGACTAGATGACCAATAAAGGTTCTTTGGTTCTTTTAAACCCAAAGTATTCTATGATTGAAGTAAGTTATATTTAAACCGGCAAAAAATTAACTTCATAGCAAACATTCAGGTGAACAGTGATCTATAGAAGAAGTCTTCAAAATAACATTCACTACCACTTGCTCCTACATAGCAATATTCTTGTGATAGGTATTAGAGTAGAAAGAGAAATATTGTGCTCAGGTTGTGTATTTTTCACCTTCTTTTTATGAGATTTCAAAAAAATTATTTTTGAGGGCATATTAATGAATGTTCCAACATCTTTAAAGCATGAAAGAGGAAGTTTCTGTTTTGCTCTTGTCAGTAGAGCACTGCTCTGTTTTATAAAATTGAAGTTGTATATAATACCTTTCTTTTCCATTGCTTGGGATGTGGACCAGTGAAGGATTTACATTAACCTAAATAAATATTATATCATGGCTTTAAGAACACAGACCATTAAAAAGGCTGAGTATCCAAATAGTTTCTGCTTAGAAAATAAGTGCTCACTTTTTGGCATGAGGTTTCATTCTCTCAGTTTATTTTTTTTTTCCTAGAGTAATTCTTGAAAGAAATTATTATTATTTGATTGCAGAACAAGTATTAAAAAAGTTTTAAATATAAATAGTTACTGTTTTTAATTCTTTTCCTGTGTTGATGAATGTAAGAATTCCTTCCTAACACCACTTCGAAACATGTGTCTGCCATATATTTATTAGGTTAGTACTAATAAGATTAATTTATATTTTTAAAATTCTATTATGGTAATCTTTAATTTGTGCCAGTTTAATTCTTTCCAAATCCAGTTACTGTTAGAGTTAGACACTGACTATGCATTTACATCTTGTCTCTCAAAATATTTGATGATATTCTTGTCTATGCATAAATATTTTTTGGCTTCCAAGGGCTGTGGGGTATTCCTGATGAATGTATTCTATGAAACTACTTTGGCTTTTTTCACCTGTGTCATCAATCCAGTAAAGACTCTAGTAGCTGTTCATCTTATTCTAGGTTTTATTACAGGTCTTTTCCATGCCTTGCTGTTTCAATTTGTGTATTTGCATACTGTATTAATTTAACATACTGTATAAATAAGATGGATAAAATTAACAAAAAAAGGAGTTAAACCTAACAATTATATCTGTGACTGTCTCTGATTTCTAAAAATATCATTCTGTGGCATTGCATGGATTGCCTAATTCACTGTTGTCTTGTACTGTATTGAGTTCCACAGAGGGACAGTAAATCAACCTGGGCAGTTATGAGGAAAATTGCTGCTAGAAATGGGATTACTGGATTATTTGCAGGTAAATTTTTTCTTATCTCTAAAAAAATTCAGACTAGAGAGTTCTTAATTGTAGATTCTAAAGTGCGTAAGTTTTATATTTCCATTTCTGTGAACACTGTCAGCTATGCAATAGTTTGCATATATAAAGCAACAGACATGCAGACATTGGCCTCTCCTGGGATCTTCTTGGTAGAGTACCATGGGATAAAGTCCTGCAGGGAGGAGAGGCCCAAGAAAGCTGATTAATATTCAGGAATCATCTCCTCCAGGCTCAGGAACAATGTATCCCAGCAAAGAGAAAGTTAGGTGAAAACTCCAAGAGGCCTGTATGGAGGGACAAGGAGCTCCTGGACAAGCTCAGACACAATAAGGAAGCCAGGACAGGTAACCTGTCACAGAGAAATGGTCCAAGTAGACAGAGATCAGGTTTGGAAATGAATCTGGCCAGGGATGTCAAGGGCAGCAAGAAAGGCTTCTACAGGTGACCAGAGGAAGACAAGGGAAAACATTGGCCCTCTGTTGCATTTCTGCCTCAGCCTGACTCTGGCAGGCTGAGGCAGAAATGACAAGATGCTGAGATTAAAATAATATTGAGATAAAATCCTATTGTAGCTCATACTGAAATGACTATTGGCAAGAGACATTCCAAATCCAGGATACTTACCAGACTTCACCACACTGCACTGGCTCATTGGGGCCCTGGTGTGAATGGCTGCACAGGTGGTTAAGCCTTGCAGGACTTGTGTTTGCTGAAAGAGATTAAACTGCTTTATTTGCTGTACAGTGATGGCATAGCTCAGTAACAGGATTTGCATATTTCAGACCACTGGATGCTAACAGAATGCAAGACACCACAAAGTATCAATAATATTGATACTGAATTCAGTTAATAGATTAAAACACATTTCAGTCTTGACACATGGGTAGCAGAGTTTAGAGATACTCTTGATCAGGCCCAGTTCAGTTCAGTTGGCCACACGTAGCTGAGATGACTGGGGTTGGCCTGCCTGGCTCCTTGCTGCTGCTCCAAAGGCACACAAGTTCTGCATAGGTCCTGTGTCACCTGTGCTGGCTCTCAGCAGACATCTTTGCATTTCAAGTGGAAGTGGAGGGTGGCTGTGTGTGGACAAGGGGATTTGGCCTTATTCCCCTTCTCTAAACTGAATCACTGTCTAACCTCCACTGGCAAGATCACAGTTGACTATAATGGGAGCCATTTAACACTTACATTCCATCATTTATTCCTGTGACCAGGGTTCATTTTAGTAGAGGCCACCTCTTGTGTGCTGGAGCACAGGAGCCCTGCAGGCCCAGGTGCTCCCAGTTGCATGGAGTCAGAAGGGGCAGAGACACACTGGACTTGAGGCAGGCAGACCACACAAGACAGCAGAGGTGAGGGCATAAGGGTATTACACTGGTAATACCTACAGCTGGTAAATTCAGTATTTTGAGGCATGTGCGCAGGTAGAATCCCAGTCTAAACTGATACACTGTGGTATAGATATATTGTGATCAACACATTGTACTGCAGCACTTGGGTCTGAAAACAGTAATAGTGAATACTTCCCTTTCTCTTCTGGGCAGGTATTACTCCACGGCTGTTTAAAGTTGCTCCTGCTTGTGCCATAATGATCAGCACATATGAATATGGAAAGTCTTTCTTTTCTCATTTAAATGAAAAAAAGAATCAACATCCATAATTCTTCTTCGTCCAATTGTATGAAGGCAAAGTATGATGGAAGTTGTGCCAAATCCAAATCTGTGAAGATGTTTTCTAGAATTCCTAGTGAATTTCTACCGTTACATTTGGTAACTAATAAAGCTTCATTTTTAACTTTCACAAAGGATTAATTCACTTTTTTATTAAGAATAAGAAAATACACATCACCCTTAAATTATCATTGAAGATTTTATGACTTCTCTTGCAGCTGGAGAGAAAAAATAAAGGAAGAAAGAACAAAAGAAAAAAGAAAGGAGGGAGAGAAGAAAAATTGAGCCTGGACATAGCAATGAAGAATAATGACTTCCACTGTGTAAAATTTTAGTCATGAAAATAACTAAATTAACCTAAGGATTTTAGCTGGGTTTTAAAATTATGTTTAAAAATGTTTTGGGTTTCTAATTGTAAGATATATTTATTTCTCAGTAAGGAGGTTTATACAGAGTGAATTCAATAAATACTTACTTATTTATTCTTGCTGCTTGTTATGTGTTTCATTCTGTACATGTTTCTTATTCGTAGCTCTGTATTTTGTGTAAGTGCATATTTTAAAAGCTTCTCAGGTTTATTTTAACTGAAGAATTCTGTAAAACTGGAAAAACACTGATGTTCATTAGACACTGAGAGAGCATGGTGCATACAGTGCTAGGGCAGCAGGGGCTTTTTGTTTAAGGTAATACTTGAAATTAAAGCACACGCATGCACTGCAGCCGAAGGCCTGTCCAGGTGCTCTGCAGGAACACTCCTGCACCTGTTTCTGGGAGGTGCCAGTTGTCACGGTCACACTTCTCATGCACACTTTGTGTGGGGCCCCCTGTGTTGGAAGGCCAAGGCTGCCGCCATAAGGAGAGGTGATGGTGTGCCAGCCTGACTCAGCCCCGTGCCCTCTGAAGGCAAGAGCGTGTGCAGGTTGCTGCCACAGGCACAGCCACCCTCTGCCCACTGTGCTGCACTCCTGGTAGGATCAGCTGCAGCACTGCACTTGCCTGTAGGCATTCAAATTACTAAATCAGAGCTGCCTCTGTGTGATTTAAATCATTTTTTAACTATCCTCACTACCTCCCTCTTCTCATGCATTTTCAATGCAGTTGTTGAATTCTATTTTTTTTGTGTATTTTAATGAGGGGGTGCTGATACAAAAATAACTCGGTAGTCAGATCATTAAGACACTGTCATTTGGGTGTGCTTTACCCAAGAAATGGAGTTCATGATGAAAATTCTTCACACACTGAAAAATGCTCTACTTGTAAAGACATTAGGTACCACATTAGGCAAGAGGTGCTGCCAGAGGAGATGCTTAACACTGTTCTTCCACTGTGACTTTTGAATGTAAATTTACAAAATAAAGCCCAAGAGAACATAGTAGCAGCAGATATTGGATGACAATGATACAGAGCAAGAAAACCAGTCTCCCCCTTGTGCAAGAAAAGTATTTGCTATAAACTCAGTAATGCTGTAATTTACAGAATGGTTTACTTTATCCTGTGTGATTAAAACAGAGACAACAAGTTGTAACTAGTGATGATACAAAATTTTTAATTTACATGCAACATTCATAGAACGTCAAGGCAACAAAACATACAGTTTGGTGGTTTAAAATTCTTTTTTAAAAAATGGTTAATGTTTAGAACTGAGAAGGATGCACATAACTGACTGCCCATGCACAAAATGACACCCAGAAACACGTGTCAGACTACATAAAAGACTTCAGCTAAACAACACATTTAGCTCTAAGAAAAGAGCCATCAGTGAACATGACTGAAGATCATGATTACTGCCCCCCCAAAACACTGATGTGGCATGAGAAGTGTTTAACAGCAAACAAGACCGATTAAATCACTGTACATTGATGAAGAATGTTAACATGTGGAATCTGGATTCCCTCATTTTATTTGTAGTAAAAATGCATCTCTAATTTACAAATTTATATTTAATGTTACTCAAGAAACAGGTGCTTAATGTGATAACAGAAAAAAGTTCCATGAAGTAATGGACATTCCGAAGGTGTATGAAAGGATTTAATGGTCAGAGTTTATTACAGAGAAATTACCTGTGTGGGTACACAAGGGCTTGAAAGACCTGGTGGTTTTGTTAAAACTGCTTTAAAATTTTGCATTAAAGTAGCATCAGTGGTTGTGTACCCTGCCATGGATGTAGTGTCCTCCAGCAGCATGGACTAGAGAGTTGAGGAGATGGATTCTTATCCTCTAGCTAAATCCAACAGTGCCTTGAGTTCCAGAAATGCATAGCCTCCTACTTAAAAAGACTAAATATTTCAGTTAAAGCAAGAATGAATCTTCTCTCTTTCAAGCCCACCCTATGATGTCCAGTTTAAAGTAGTAGTGCCAAGGTACCATCACAAGAGGCAAATCAACTAATCCTGTACAGAGTGTAGTGACATACTGTAAACACCTAGGAGTAAGCAATAATTAAAAATCTGTCTTGTATTGCAGCTACTCATGTAAACAATTTATGAAACTTCTTTGGCACAAAAAAGCATTTTCCCTAGCACTTATAAATGCAACATACTTACATGCATTTCACTTTTGTTTAAAAAGTTACTAATCATACTGATAAGCATTACCTTGATTAGCAAAATTCATAGATAAAGGATCTATTGTATCTTACAAAGAATTAAGAATATAGTTTGCAATTCAAAAATTATTTTGCAAACTTTGAAACTGTAGGGTAATCTGGTAAGTTAGTTACATTTTAAAAAATGTCTCCCTTTTTTTTTTCTCCTATCAGTAATTTAAATCAATGGCAAATACTTTGAGAAAATTGACTTAAGAGAATTTCTGCTGCATTACCTAAGCAAGAAAAATACCTACTGGACTACTACAGGGATGAGAAAAGTCTTTTAACACACAAATACAGTCATTACATTGTTTCCCCTTTTTCACTCTCCTTGGGATCTTGCCAATAAACACAGAATCCAGACTTTGCAAGATGCTTATCCCCATCATCCATAGCCCCCATCTTTTCAGCAAGAAACTTTTTGTATAATGTTAGATTATCTGTAACCCAGGCCACTTAAAAGCATTTTTAGTGAGTTTGCTCACCATTTACAAATCTCTATGTATGCCTCATTTATATGATCAAGTTACATTTGTTATTCACATGCAATTTCAAGTGTTTGTGTTTCAGTGTGACTGGGACATCTCCTAAGTGCCATATTAACAGGAATGCAAAACCTAACACTGAGTCAACTTGAGAGAAGCTGTTGATAGGTTAAATATGCTATCTGAGGTCCTACACAACATACACAGATGAAAAGCTGGATTTTTAGGTATTTTTTTCCTACAAAAACTGGTGTTCAGGATTCCCTGTCTCTTCTGCAGGAGTTGATAAATATTTAAAGCACTGCAGAGTACAGTGGCTAGAGCCAGTCCAGGCTAGTGCAAGGAGAAACAAAGCTGATGGCATTTAAGTATGTGTCTGATTTTCAACTGTTTCATTTTAAAAACCAGTCATAAACATCAGATTATACATTCTGTACTTGAACAAGAGATTGAAATAATTCCAGACTAAAATAGATTATCTGAAAAATCCTCTGGGGGAAAGATGAAGCAAATGAAAACTGACCAAATTGGTGAATTATAAAGGTATCTGATACAAGAAAAAATAAAGCAGCTTATTTTTTAACTTGCAACTAGCAGTCTTCACTGCAAGTCATCTCATGGAACATAAATCAAATGCATACAACATAAAGCTCTTCCTTCTTGTGTGCATCTCAGGATGGTGTTAAGCCTGGACTTGTCATCTCTGTCGTGGGACTTGCAAGGTATTCACTTGATTTCAGGCTTGTGAGAGACTTGTAGCTTGCTACTGATGTAAGAGAGCCACAAAGACCAAGCAATGATGGAGTGTCTTCCTTTCCTGTGAGGAAAAATAAGAATTCAGCTAATAGTTTTTGCAGCACAAGATTAGTTCACCATAAAAAATGAGAGAACACAAAAAGCTGTTTAATCTACACACTGTGAATTCCATGGTATGCTTCAGCACAGGCAAGTTTCATAAATGTGACTGGGAGGACAACTTACACCACACCTTCCCCATCCAGGTGGTACAGAGATCTCTACCCATGCCTTAAATTAGATTTTAATACTGCTTACAATTAAAAAAAATAAATTATCCTTGATGTTTAAAAAAGAGACATTTTAGCACTTATGTAACACTAAGGTTTTGTATTGGCAAATCTATTTAAAGCTTAGAATTGATGAGATACAGAAAGGATTCTTTTTTAACAGTTTACATTCTATACCCAAAATACTACTATTTCACAATTCTTCCAACATTTTCCTGCTTTTTCAGAATTGCCCACAAGATGGAGCAGCTAAGCTTTGATAAGCATCCAGGTTTGAAAGGGGTGTGTGTATATGTCACATTTATATAGACAGTTCATATCATGTTCCTCTCTCTATTTTAATGGAAACACTGTCAGGCTGCATCTCCAGATAAATGTTAAGATGTAAGAATGAAAGTGGTAGTTGCAAATCCAATGCATTTAATCATTATTTTAAAACCAAAAAAAGGAAACACAAGAAGTTAGAGCAGAAAGATATCAGCAGATCTCCCTTGTGGTAAAGCTGACTGATTCTGTGATGGAAAAGGAAGACATGCAAGACATTTGAAGCTTAGCTTTAAATACAGAGGAGTGGGGTGTGTATCTTCATAAATCCAAACTAATTTGAAGCAGAGTTCTTAGGGAAACTGAAACACTTGGCATAACAATGAAAAACATGTTTTTCAATGTGTATCTTCTTCACGCTGAAAATTTGTCTCACAGGTACTGAAGTCCAGAACTATGAAGAACAAAATTAAAGGAGGACATTAGACTGGCTCTGTACCTTCATTTAACAAGTTAATTCCATCTTGCTTCCCATCCTGTGAGTGACCTGGATCCAGAGAGGATTGAGAAAGACTGACTTCTGCTGAAAGTTGGTCCAGACTTTGAAAACTTTTTCTGCAAAGCAAGTAATATTTGATAGCAACACATTTAAAGATCTAACTAGGTATATTCAACTCTCCTTAAAGAGTTTTCTAAAATAATCCTATGCAGTTAATCTTTCTTCTCTTAAACACTATTCTTATTTATTTCCAAAGCCAGTTCTTTCCTAAAGCAATGATTTATTTTTCTGCCTTTTTTAAAAAAATTAATCCAAAGGAAGAAAATTTTTATGGAAAGCAAGAGAAACTGATTTTAGTTACCAGTGATCTTTCACTGGTAACTATATCCAATCGGATATGTTCCAAAGTATGCTGAAGGAAATATATAATTGTTAGTTTCCCTGTTCCTCTAAGGGGGAGTCAAAATAAATATGATACTTACTCATCCCATTGTTGATTGTGCTTTCTATAGAGTAGAGTGTCCAAGGCAACAGCATTGACATCCAGAGCTCCTGGGGAAGGCCACTGATTGGTGAGGTGAGTAGTTAATTCTTGTCTTGATCTCAAGTCATTATTCTTTAGCACAGTTCTGTGAATACAAAAAAAAAAAAAGAGTCTATTACATGCAATTCCTTAAGATAAAGGAAAGACAGGACATAGATGATCATAGAATCATCATGGTTGGAAGAGACTTCGAGATCATCCAGTCCAACCATCACCCAGCACTGCCCTGTAACCCCTAAACCACATCACCCAGTGCCAGACCCAGATGTCTCTTAAACACCTCCAGCAATGGTGACTCCACCATCTCCCTGAGCGACCTATTTCCCCCTGACTACCTGAACAGCGAAAAAAATTTTCTAATATCTAATGTGAATCTCCCCTCTTAAGTCTCATCTTAAAGCCATTTTTTGGGTCCTGTCACTGCAGCCACAGCAGAAGAGACCGACCCCCACTCACTACAAACTCCTTTCCGGAGCCTGTAGAGAGCAGTGAGGTCCCTGCTGAGCTTCCACCAGACCAAACACCCACAGCTCCCTGAGATGTTCCTCACAGGATTTTGTTCTAGACCCTTCACAAACCTTGCTGCCCTTCTCTGGACACACAGCATTTCAATGTCCTTTCTGGAAGGAGAGGCCCCAAACTGAATGCAGTACTTGAGGTGCAGCTTCATCAGTGCTGAGTACAGAGCAATCAACACTTTTCCTCATACAGGCCAAGATGCCATTGGCCATCTGGGCACACTGTTAGCTCACGTTCAGCCACCTGCCAACCAGCACCCCAAGCCCCTTTCTGCCAAACAGCCCTCAAGCCTCTCCTTCCCCAGCCTGTAGCACTGCAGGGGCTTGTTGTCACCTAAGGACAGGACCTGGCACTCCACCTTCCTGAACCTCATGCACTTGTCTTCAGCCCATTGATCAAGTCTGCCCATATCTCTCTGCAGAGCCTTCCCACCCTGCAGCAGATCAACACTCCCACCCAGCTCGGTGTCATCTGCAAACTGACTGAGAATGATCCAGATCACCAATAAAGATGTTAAACAGGACTGACCCCAAATCCAAGCCTAAGGGAACACCACTAGTGATCATCCACATCCAGATGTTCTATTTCAAGTGACCAACAGACTGCAATTTTCACAAAGCATCTTAAACTGTTCGCTTTTCCTAAGGGAAGCAACTTAGAAACATATTAAGACATATTTTGGAACCAAAAAAAAAAAAAAAGTTGACATTTGAATCCTTCTACAAAAGCAATAAAGAATTGCAACTGCATTTAGAAGGTTCTTTCTGCCAGCATAATGGTAATTAACAGGCCAGCTCTTTTGCAAGCCCACTTTGGGAATGTGATATGCTTCCCACAACACCAATTTTTTTTTGCAGTTTGAACACCCTTGCATCCCCCCTTCAATACTTTTCCAGAATGAACTAAAAACCGGACATGTTAAGTCCACTGTATGCTTTCATGCAAAATATAGCACTTAGTTACTCTGTTTTCTATCACCTTACAATTTCTAGTAACTATGTCTATAACTGATATGAAAAAGTGTAAACTGAAGACCTTAAATGCTCAAATTAGTTTTGCCTCATATTCCCAAGGAAGCAAAACAGTTTTCTAAAATTCTAGAAATGAAGAAGCTAATATGCCAGTATTGGAAATCACCTGCCAAAAGTCATATTGAAATATATTGAAATAAGGAAAGTACCTAGTTTTTCAGGCTCCAAGACAAGATCAGGCTTTTTCCAATAGCACAAGGCAACCTCTGATCTGCCCTTATACTGCTGTAGAATAATTAGAACTAAAAGCAAGAGCATTTTGTAATTGGATTTTTTAAGTCCTCCAATCCACAAAATACTAGACAATAGTAAAATGTTGCTCTACAAGGAATTTGACGATCTCTGAAGCAAAAAGCTAATTTACTCATCTCCATAGCAAATGTACTCAGAAGTTCAAAGCCAAATGCCATGTTGCTATCCAAAATGCCAACTGCACAGCAAATTAAATAACTATTCATGGCACACATACATTTACTTGAATTTTCCAATAACATTGTCAACAGGTCTTTTTTTACAAAAAAGTTTTTATTCTGGTGATATTTGAACTGTTTAGACAGGAACTTCTGTAAGGGCAAATAACAGTGCCCAAAGAGCCAAAATTTCCAACAAAACAAAGACAGTAGTAAGCTCAGTAAGGAACTTTTAGGAGCTGAGTTTCACAGAGGAGACAGATTCTGAGTTTTATTGCACAAAAAGAGGATGAAGCACAACTGTGATTAAAACTAGTTTCAAGAATTTGAATTTCTCACAAGATGACTAATTCCCTCAGTATTCATACAGGTAAAGAATCAACCTTTCTACCTAGAGATCCACACCCTCACCCTCCTAAGAGGTTTTCAGGAATAACCACTTTGCTGACCCAAAGCTCTCAATAATTTCAAGTATCTTGCATGGTATTCACTTCCCCATGTAAAAACCCCAATCCCCTGGGAACACTGAGCATTACACAGAGCTTGTTGATTTGAGGAAACTGAAACACAGAGATAGCAAGTTTTTCTGAGGTTTGCCAGGTACATTACATCACCTCCTTATTCAGAAGGACATCTTGAATATTTTCACAGGAGTTTCAAAACAGGACACAGTTTATATGAGCAACTATGCCCACAGGGTCTAAATACAAATTTACACATGTAACATGGACATGAAAATTTCCATTTGGACAACCCCTGTAAGCTATCACAGACACATTATCACAGACACACATCTGCAGACAAGTTCCTAATAACAGTGGAATTTTTGCATTTGATATAGGTTTCTATATTGAATATATCTAATATTTCTATATTCTATATTCCACAAATTTTTACATCCTACTGTGTGAACAAAGAAATTCTGAAGCAAAGAGTCACCAAAATTTCCCAAGAATTTTAACACAACATTTAAAGATAGTTTCAGTTAATCATTTCTTAAACCACTCTACCATGCTCAGGAAGAAAACCAGGCATAAAGTTGAATAAACTTGAAGAGAACTAAATAGTCTCCTCTTAAATACTTGAGAACTAAATATTGTCCTCTTAGAGCTTTTATTTTGAATCTTTAAAAATATGTAAAAATAGATTTGAAATTATAAAATCAGTCCAAGCATAGTATCAAATATATCTAAAATAGTAGCATAGGCAATAAAATTTAGACAAAATATTCACACCAGCTGCTATTAGTTACTATCTATTTTACCAGCTTTGTAGATTATTTAGCTCTTAGCTCTTCTGCAGACATTTTTCATAAGTTTCCACTGCAGCAGAGAGCCATTATAGAGGCATTGCCTGCAGACAGCAACTCTCCTGCTATGCAAAAACTGGCACTGCTTTTGTTTAACCAAATTTATTTGTAGAGTGAAAGTATTAAAGAGCACAGAAATACAGAACCATTTAGGTTGGAAAAGACCACTGAGTACAACCATAAGCCCACCACTGCCAAGTCCCCCACTAAACCATCTCCCTAAGTGCCATGTGGACACAGCATACAGAATCCTCACACTCCTAATCACCATGAGGAAAAATGATCCTGCTACAAAAGTATTCAGAAACAGGAAAAGAGGTGGATACAAAAGCATTTGCTACAGAAGAAGTTAAAAAGGAAGAAAATATGATCAAGTTTTAATGAAAAAAGCAAATACAAATTTCAAAACTCAATGTGAAAAGAAGCTGTGCAAGGCTATCTAGTGCTGTCTTGCTCTTGTTCAGACAAGAAAAACACTTTCTAGAGGTTAAGAGCTCTCCAAGGACAGCAACTTATTTTATCCAAGGCATATTGAATTTCTGCAGTGGTGCTCTTGTTCCCCAGAATGCAAACACTGTAACCAGGCTGGCCAGTTCTGTGCAGAGGTGCTGCAGGGTTTCAGGCAGGACTTTTCCTTGCACCAGGACTGGAAGGAGTATGCAGTTCCATTTTTCAATAAAGTTCAATAAAATATGGTTCTATTGATGTTGTAGCTGTGAGGATTTAAGGATGATGCAATATAAGGTTTGTAGACAGTATGTCAAGCCATTTAATGTAGGAGTAAAAGCAAGGACACTCCAAAATGAAAAGAGGGTAAGTAAGAGAAATAATAGCATTTACTAAAGGAGGAAGTTAAAAACCAAGGAAATACAATTAAACCCGAGTGAAAACAAGCATATACACCAAGCTGTTAACTCCTTTTCTTCAGCCTGGAAAAGAAGATAAAAACAGTGGCTAAAAGCAGTGATCTCAGGAAGGCAGTGGAGAATACAGTGGATAAGAGATTGTGTGGCTGTGTTTTGGATGAAAGACAGGCAGTGTGTGAGATATGGCTGAACAGGGTATCCTGGACTCACACAGTGGGACTGCAGAGTGCAGAGGTTTTGTGCAGTGCAGGAGGATTATGTAAGAACTTATGAGAGCAGGGGGGTTAAATCCATTTATGGTACGTTCTCTAATCTAGCCATGAAAAAATTTTTGATTGCCTGAGAGCCTGTGAGCTTCCCCTCTCTCATCCAACTAAGTGGTATCCTCTGTGATTACAATTATTTCCATCTCTTTGCAATCATGTTGGCAAAAACAGTAGCAGTAGCTGTTCCATAATCTGCAGAAAGTTAACAGATGTACCCTTAGCAATCCTTACTCCAAACAACACTTGTGTAAGATAACTTCATATAGGGTTTCAAGTTCTGCAAACATTATAAAATAAAGAAATAGTGAAGAGATAGGCAGAGAAAGAACATTCAACAACAATCAAAACATCAGTCTATTACCAACATTAATCTCAAACAGAATCCAAAAAGCAGCACTGTATCAGCTACTAGGAAGAAAATTAACTCTATCCCAGCTGAAAGCAGGGCATTTCTTTTAAAATGACCAAATACCCTTTGTACTACTTCACAGCATAGATTTTTCCATAATGCATATAAACATAAACATAAACATAAATATATATATATATATATATATATATATATATATATATATATATATATGGGAAGTATAATATACAAAGTCTCCCATGTTGTCCCAGGATAACATTTAGGCCACTTGAATTGTGGTGGGATTTTTTTATATCTGAAAAAAAGAAAAAACT